CGTTGTATAATTCTGCCATTTCAAATTCATTTCTAACTTTAGTTTTTCTATAAATTAGACCATTTCTTTGTCAACTACAGTTATTTGTTTCTCTTAAATTATACATCTTTCTTTAAAGCAGAAAAAAACAAAAACAAAACACTGGCTGCCTCCACACCAGGAAATAATTTTCGAATTAAGAGTTGGTGAACCACTAAGTTGTTGAAATGTACTACATTGGTGATGTTTAGTTATAGTTTAAAAAATAATTTATGGGAGCAGGGAGGATGAAGGGAGGAAGGCGGGGGAGGAGAGCATGGGGGATCAGGAAGATTGAATGGGGAGAGGAATAGAGGAGAACAAGAAAAAAGACACATCAATAGAGGGAGCCTATAGTGATAGGTTTAAAGAGAAATCTGGCAGTAGGGAATTACAGAGATCCACAAGGATGACCCCAACTAGGAACCTGAACAATAGTGGAGAGGCTACCTTAAATGCCCTTTCCCTATAATGAGACTGATGACTACCTTAAATGCCATCCTAGAGCCTTCATCCAGTAGCTGATGGAAACAGAAGCAGAGATCCACAGCTAAGCACTGAGCCAAACTCCTGGAATCCAGTTTCAGAGAGGGAGGAGTGAGAGCAAAGGGGTCAAGACCACGCTGGAAAAACCCACAGAAACAGCTGACCTGAGCAAGTAGGAACTCATGGACCCCAGTCTGCCAGCTGGGGAGCCAACATAGGACCAAACCAGGCCCCCTGAACATGGGTGTCAGCTAGGAGCACTGGGCAGTCTATGGGGCATCTGGCAGTGAAACGAGGATGTATCCCTACTGCACGAATGAATTTTGGGAGCCCATTTCTCATGGAGGAATACTCTCTAAGCCTAGAAACACAGGGAGGGGCTAGGTCCTGCCCCAAATGACTTGACAGAGAATGGATGGGTGATGGGATGGGGGGAGGCAGTGGAGGCATGGGAGGATGGGAGGAAGAGGGAACTGGGATTAATACATAAAATAGGATTGATTCTAATGTAAATAAAATAAAAAATAGTTTACAATATGATTGAGACTCTCTAAGTTTATGGGTTGTATTTGTAAGGATTTTGAGTTTCCAAGTGTGTGTGTGTGTGTGTGTGTGTGTGTGTGTGTGTGTGTTTTACTGGAAGTTGAGCCAGCAATTACACACGCTAGGCAAGGTTTCTACTGCTGAGCCATATCACCAGCCCTAAACAGATTTTTTTAAAAGGTGTTTTTCAAGTTATACTTGGAGTTAATAACATAGGAATTAATGTTGTGGGTAAAGAAAGTAGCCTGTATTGGGTATTTTAGGATTGCCAAGTGGCATATGTATCTTAGTACTACTATTGCTATGATGAAACACCATGACCAAAAGTGACTTGGGGAGGAAAGTTTCTGTTTATTTGTTACAGAAGCCACGGAGGAGTGCTTTTTAGTGGCTTGTTCTCCATGACTTGCTCAGCCTGCTTTCTTTTAGCATCCTGGACCACCATGCCAGGGGTGGTAACACCCACAGTGGCCTGGGTCCTCCTGCATCAATCACTAATAAAGAAATTGTCCTACACGCTTGCCTACACTGGTCTCATGCAGGCAAATTGTCAATTTCCTCTCAGATGACTCCAGCTCAGGGTCAAGTTGACATAAAACTAGCCAGCACAGTTTGTAAACTAGTATAATTTTTTTGTTTGTTTGGTTTTCCTTAAATAAATGCTTGATACAGTCTTAAAAACAAGTGCAGGTTCTATTTAACACAGATAGGGGATGATTCCAGGACTCCCGTGGATTCCAAGGTGCTCTTACGCTAAAATCCCTTAGGTACAATGGAGTAACATTTGCCTGTTGTCTGTGTACCCTCTAAATTACAAAACCTAATGCACTCTTTTAAAATTTGGATATATAGCTGATTCTCAATATTTCTTAGGGAATAATGACGAAAATAAGACTGTGCATGTATTATACAGAAGTTCAGACATATCTTCCTTTAGAGATAGTGGTAGTTTTTTGTTTTGTTTGTTTTCAAGGTGTGGTGATTTGAAAGAAAATGGCCTCCAAAAGAAGTAGCACTATTGGGAGGTGTGGCTCTGTTGGAGTAAGTGTTGCCTTGTTGGAGGAAATGTGTCACTGTAAAGGCAAGCTTTAAGGTCTAATATATGCTCAAGATACTGCCCATTGTCTCAGTTCACTTCCTGTTGCCTGCATAAGATACAGAACTTTCAGGTACCTCTCTAGCACCATGTCTGCCTGCATGCCACCATGTCTCATCATGATGATAATGGACTGAACCTCTGAACTGTAAGCCACCCAATTAAATGTTTTTTCTTTAGAAAGTTTCTGTGGTCTTGGTGTCTCTTCACAGCAAGGGAAGAATTGTTTAGACTGGGTTTCACCCCATAGTCCAGGCTGGCCATAGCTGAGGATTGTTTTAAACTCTCAATCCTTCTGTTTCTACCTTGCAAATACTAACTTTCAGGCACTTGCTGCTACACTCAGCATTTTCTTTTCTTTAAGTACTTGTTTGAATTTGTAGATGCAGAAGGCTGACTGTATTCTCATTTTTATTGGGGAAAAAGGTGCTATTTTTTTTAATCAGACCAGAATAATTGATATATCTGCAATGCGACCTTTATACCTAAGGGTCAGATCATTGCAAAAGAAGAAGAGGGAAGATTGTGAGAGGCAGAGGACAACAAGACAGTGTCTTCTATACATGACAGGGAAGCTGTACCATGAAATCCCAGAAATCTCCTAAACATGACCTACATAATGCCAACACCAGCTGACATGCCAACAGAGATATGGGAAATCTCTCAAGGGTCCACCCCTATGTGAAGAGCAATTAATTTCTGCTAAGAGAAGCAGACTTCTCCAAGGACAAGCTACCCGACAGCCTATCTAAATCATAAGTGGTTAGACCTAAATACATATATATAGAAGCAACACTAAAATGGACTTACCAGGATAAACTGACACGTATACGTGTGTGTGTGTGTGTGTGTGTGTGTGTGTGTGTGTGTGTGTGTGTGTGTGTGTGTGTATGTATGTATGTTGTGTGTGTGTGTGTACACATAAATAATAAAAAGAGGTCAATTGGAGAGTGAATGAGGAGGACAAGGGAGGAGCAGAGGGGGAAGACTTGAAAATGATGTAAATGCAGTATTTATGTATGAAAGCCTAAAAACATAAAAGATTACTGGGCCAGTGAGGTAGCTCAGTGGGTAACCATTTGTCCCTAAGCCTGATGGCTTGAGCTTTATCCCCAAGATCCACTTCTCTACCAAGTTTCCAACCATGGATGTACAAATAAAACAAACAAATATAATTTTAAGATAAAAAAAGATTGTCTGATCTGCAACACTCATCCTTACTTTTCATTGCTGGATATATCTCTCAGAATCTTTGGCTGTTGCCTGTGGCTAGGTTATGTTTAGGAAACAGATGGGTTTAGCTCTTGGGTCTAGAAGCCAGAAAGCGTGGTGCCAGTGTGAGTTGACCTCTCAAGAGGGTCTCTATGCTGTTTCACACAAAGTGGAAGGAAATGGGATGTGTCTGGTAGCATGTGTGGAAGAGGGGCTGAGGGGAGCTGAGAAATCCACTTTGTAACAGCTAACTTGAGATGACCAATTCATTTCATTAGGAACTATATTGATTCCTCTGTGAGGATCAAGCCCCCTTCCTCTTATAACCCCTTAAACTTGCATTGGGGACCAAGCTCTAACATGGGTTTTGGTGGGGACAAACTTTCACATCATAGCACGTAGGGAGATTCCAGAAAATTCTCGAAGCCCAGATTGGCAATATCCACTTGTTAGTCCAGCACTTGGGAGGGTGGATGATGTGTGATTGGATTTGTAAACAGATGTTTCAGACGTTGCTTCCTATACTGTAATGTCTCAAAACCAGCAGGAATAAGAATCCTGAACAGTGAGGTGTTGAGTAGGAGGAGCAGGGATGAGAGCTAGAGAAAATGAGAAATAAAGATGACAAAGGCAATAGCTGGGACCAGGGGGGTCTTGCAGAAGCTGATGACATACGCCAAACAAGTTTTTGCTTGCTTGCTTGCTTGCTTGCTTGCTTTATTTATTTATTTATTTATTTATTTATTGTTTTATTTGAGTTACAAACACATTTGAATTACATGAAAATCCCAGTTCCCTTCTCCCTCCCCTCCTCCAAGTTTTTTCTTTTTTTTCTTTTTCTTTTTTTTTTCTTCGAGACAGGGTTTCTCTGTGTATCTCTGGCTGTCCTGGTACTTGCTCTGTAGACCAGGCTGGCCTCAAACTCAGAGATCCACCTGCCTCTGCCTCCTGAGTGTTGGGATTAAAGGAAGGTGCCACCACACCTGGCCCAAGCAGGCTTATTAAGATAGTATATTATATATACTATCTGTGGGAGAAAAAAATGGCAAGATCAGCAGAGAGCTAAATTAGTGTCAGCAGAGAGAACATGGAATACCTCAGACAGTTGCCCAAGGACTGATAACCACTGCCTAGGGGAGAGAGCTGGGTCTCCAAAAGCTGCAACCTGGACTCCTTCGAGGCACTGGCTCCAGCCGGAGACCAGCTTTGCCAAGCCTGCTCCTGGACAAAGACACAAATCTGAGCTCCTTTTTGTCCTTTCATCAGGGGCTCCGAGGGAGTCTTGGGTCAGTGTGGCTCCCCACATTTATGCCCTTTTTTTTTTTTTTTTTTTTTTTTTTTTTTTTGTGGGGATAGCTTTATGATCATTAAATTATGGGTTTTTTTTAAGGGTGCTTTTGTTGATCTCTGGCCTTCACACACTTACATATGCGCACACAATCACACCCACATATGTACGCACACACAACACAGTGGCCGTAAAGAGATATTTCAAATAGATATTTTGTTAGCAACAAATTTTCTTATAAATGCTACTCACTTAGAATACATGATGCAAATGGTTAGCTGTGGTCTATAGTCCTAGTTTATTGATTGGCATACTTTCCTGTTTCTTAAATTTGAAACACTTTGTACTTTGTTTTAGGTTGTGAGCCTTGTAAGTGGCATATGGCAGAACTTTAGGCCAAGCCGTGAAAGCCCTGTGATTAAGGTGAGCTATTGCCACATATATTGATGTATGTTTGCGTTTATAGCAGCTGGTTTTTGTGTTTTCTATTTGCCATACATTTTCTCTGGTTTCCCCCTGTTTTTTCATCTTCCCACTAATAGGTGGCTTACTTTGCTTGTTTGTTTTCTCTGTCATTCAACTTAAAAGGTGCATGTTCCATATCTCTTCTTCTACTGGTTATGCTGAAGGTTTATATCTATTCTTTTTAAATTTCTTTAAAATTTTTTATTTGTATTTTAAATATTTTATTTAGATTTTTTTTTTATCTTAGGTGCATAAGTGTTTGCTTGCAAGTATGAAAGTGTACCACATATGTGCATTCTCCACAGAGACCAGAAGAGGACATAAGATCCTTTGAAACTGGAGTTGCAAATGGTTTTGAGCCATGTGGTGGTGGTGGGAACCAAACCTGTATTCTCTGCAAAAGTGCTTTAAATCATTATGCCATCTTGCCCCTTGTGTGTGTGTGTGTGTGTGTGTGTGTGTGTGTGTGTGTGTGTATTTATTCATATTCTTACATATATTTTTAGCAAAATGCTATACTTATTCTTATTCCTACTGAACAAAGTGTATAGAGTTTTTAATTTATGATGTATTTTACAGGTAGGAAGGCAAACAGGTATGTGTGTGTGTGTGTGTGTGTGTGTGTGTGTGTAGATGTGTGAAGACCAAAGGTCAACACCAGGATGTTCCCTCAGTTTCTCTCCATGGTTTTTGAGACAGGCTCTCTCACTGAACCTGGTGCTCACCAATTTGGTCAGATTGGGTAGCTACGAAGCTCAAGGAATCTACTTGTCTCTACATAGCCATCCCCCACCCCAGTGAGGTTACAAACATGTGACACCATGCCTGCCATTTATGTGAGTGATGAAAATCTAAACTTGGGTCTTCATACTTGCATGGCAAGCATTTTACCAACTGACTCATCTCCCCAGCCCACCACTGTGTCCTTTTAACTTGGTATTTTAATTTTACTTTGCATATGTATACTTGTTTATGTGAGTGTTTGGGGGAGCCTGGGGTTGGTATGTATGTGTATGAGGGTCAGAGGTTGACATGAGATGTCTTCCTCAGTCATTTTCCACTTTTATTTTTTTTCCCCCAGGGATTGTGCTTGGTTTTAGTTTTGTAGGCCTGGGGGTTGAACTCAGGGCCTTGTGTTATGCTCAGCAAGCAGTCTACCCCAGAATCACAGCATTGCCTGCCCCTTCACCTCACTTTTTGAGACTCTGTCATCTCACTAAATCTGGTGCTCACTGATGGGCTACACTGACTGTCCACCAAGCTTGAGACAGGATGATAGGAATATGTTGCCTTATTTCCATCGTCTTGTCCCCAGGAGGCAGCTTTGGTGTGCATGGCTCCTGTGTCTGCATGGCAAGCACTTACTCAACTGAGCCGTCATCTTCCTATCCTCTAGAGCAGTGGTTCTCAACCTTCCTAATGCTGCAACCATTTAATACAGTGCCTCATGTTGTGGTGACCCCCAGCCATAAGATTATTTTCGTTGCTACTTCATAACTTCGATTTTGCTAGTGTTATGAATCATAATGTAAATATCTGTGTTTTCTGATGGTCTTAGGTGACCTCCAGGAAAGGGTCATTCAAAGAGATCAGGCCCTACAGGTTGAGAACCGCTGTTCTAGGTTCATCCTGTTTTCACTACATGGAAAAATTACTTTTGTTTTTCATTATCTATTTCCTTTCTGGTAGCTGTGATTCCAAGTCTTTAGTATCTTTTAATGGTCTCATGCTTTACCTTTGCTGCTTTCGTTCCATTCCATCTTAAATTCAGTTTTCTTTTTGTTAAAAGAGATCCTTTAATGGGCAGACATGTAGTGGTGCCTGCCTTTAATCCAGCACTCTGGCAGTGAAGGCAGAGGCAAGATAGGTACAAGGTGGATCTCTGTGAGTCCTAGTCTTTTTGAGAATATTCTTTGTATTTCATGTGAATTCTCTAAAATCCACTTATAAAATAGGTACAGTAAGACCCATCTCTCCCAGTAAGGCGTGATGGTGAGTGTTTGCTATCAATACTAAAGACTGTGAGATGTGTGTATATCCAAATGAACCTTACAAGCATTCCCTGGATTGAAGTGATATGTGTTAAAATAATAGAAAATGTGAGATGATAGAATTGTACAAGGTCACACCTTTGGGTGAAAGCTGGAAACTCAGGCTCCCAACCTCTAGCATAGGGTCAGCACTACTTAGTGGAACTTGATGCCATGCAGGCACAAAATCCAGCCTTTTAGCTTTGTTTTTATTTACAGTAGCAACACAGGAAATCCAAAGCAATGCATGTATAATCCAGTGATACAGAAAGGATGAGAGAAATCTCCCAGCAACCCCAAAGACAAGACCCTTGACTTGTGGAACACATCCTTGCAGATACTTTGCTCTGCATATGTGCACATATGTGCACATAGAATTCTAGGTGTTTATCATTCTATCTTTTCAAAGGAAGCATACATCATGTATATGGCTCTATATTTCAGTCAGTGACATGAAGGCATTATGGGAAACAAAATTGCAAGTAATGAGTGAAGATACCTTGTTGAATAATGGAGCCATAATTTCACTTCACTCCAAAGGTTTCCTAATGATAGACTTTTAAATCATATTTTTCTGTGTTATAAGGGACCCACACAGTTTTCTGATTTTTTTTTTTTTTTTTAGGATAAATTGGTAGCTGTGGTGTTGCTTGAATTGGACACAGTCTAGAAATCCTGCTTAGAATACATTCGAAAGACAAGGGTGACCTACTTACTTACTGCTGCATAGTAGCCAAGGTATGGAATCACTTGGAGAGTCCAGTGGGTGGAAACAGTATGGGGATGTACAAGATAGAATATTATTCAGCTGTAAAATGTGAGAATCCTGGCATTTGAGGCAATATAGATAGAGGAAAATGAGCCAAGAACAGAAAGATAAATATTTTGTAGTTCTTGTTTGTGGAATATTTTTAGCTTCCGTCTTTCTTTTTACTTTTAATTTTGAGACTGGGTCTTTCCAAGTCACCTAGGCTGGCCTTGAACTTGTGATCTTCTTGCCTCATCCTCCCCACTAACTGTGATTACAGTTATTTGTGTTGAACGAGAGGCTTTGTTTGAAAATGATTTTTGGGTCTATTTTAACCTTGGTCTTGATGTGCACCTCTGGGTGGTGGTTCATTTGTGTGTTAAATGCAGCCAGGAAAGCTTAGGTCAGGTTGTATATTTTTGATTGGGAGCTTTCTTTCTCCATTCTTTCTTCTTGACTAGATGACATGACCTGACGTGTGTTGAGGTGGTGGACACTCACTGAGCCTTTGCTTCGTCTTGTAGAACCTGTGCCTTCTGTACTTTGAAGCTGCTGTGGATGGCCCCAGCCGTCTTGACTACCCTTCTCAATAGGATGTCACTGAGATCCCTCAAATGGAGCCTCCTGCTGCTGTCCCTGCTGAGTTTCCTGGTGATGTGGTACCTCAGCCTTCCCCACTACAATGTCATTGAACGTGTGAACTGGATGTACTTTTATGAGTATGAGCCAATTTACAGACAAGACTTTCGCTTCACACTCCGGGAACATTCAAACTGCTCTCATCAGAACCCATTCCTAGTCATCCTGGTGACCTCGCGCCCCTCGGATGTGAAAGCTAGACAAGCAATTAGAGTTACTTGGGGTGAAAAAAAGTCCTGGTGGGGATATGAGGTTCTTACATTTTTCTTATTAGGCCAGCAGGCTGAAAAGGAAGACAAAATGCTAGCGCTGTCCTTAGAAGATGAACACCTTCTCTATGGCGATATCATACGGCAAGATTTTTTGGACACATACAATAACTTGACCTTGAAAACCATTATGGCTTTCAGGTGGGTAATTGAGTTTTGCCCCAATGCCAAGTATGTCATGAAAACAGACACCGATGTGTTCATCAACACGGGCAATTTGGTCAAGTATCTTCTAAACTTAAACCACTCAGAGAAGTTCTTCACAGGTTACCCTCTAATTGATAACTATTCCTATAGAGGGTTTTTCCACAAGAACCATATCTCATACCAGGAGTACCCTTTCAAAGTGTTCCCTCCCTACTGTAGCGGGCTGGGCTACATCATGTCCAGTGACCTAGTGCCGAGGATCTATGAGATGATGAGTCACGTGAAACCCATCAAGTTTGAAGACGTGTATGTTGGGATTTGCTTGAATTTGTTAAAAGTGAACATTCATATTCCAGAAGACACAAATCTTTTCTTTCTGTATAGGATCCACTTGGATGTATGTCAGCTCAGGCGTGTGATTGCAGCCCATGGCTTTTCTTCCAAGGAGATCATCACATATTGGCAGGTTATGCTGAGGAACACCACGTGCCACTACTAAGGGCGGACTTCACACTAGGGAAGGGGGGGGATGCTCTGTAGAAGGGGCCAGGGTTCAGTGTGCTGGCTTCCTAAACTCAAACTCGTGGAGCATGCCTAGACTGCAGCTCCAAGGTGTTAACTTACTAGTGATTTGTTTTCACAAAATTATCTAGGATCCTTTAAAGGTGACAGAGGAGTTAAACATAAAAAAAGCAAAGGGTTTTGCTAATAAAATCAAAGGAAAAAGAGTCTGGATGACTCAGTCTGTAGGTTAGAATTTCTTAAGATTTCCCTGAAAGAAAAGCTAACTAGTCCACAGCAACAAATCAGTGTGGAGTTGTATTTATTAGATAGTCTAGTCACATAATGGTTCAGTGTGTACCTTAGGTGTTTATTATTAATATATATATATGTACATATATATATTTCTTGTAAAAAGATTTACTGAAGTTGTACTGAGGAAAATTTCATTTGTATTGTTTTCATTCGTGAGATACTTGACAATGTGGTATATCAGATTTATCAAATAGTATTTAATGTCATTTCAGTTTTCTGAGTGGTGGTTTCAGTATTATACAATGAATCACATTTGAGTTTTGTCTTATTTACTCCACTGGTCAGTTTCACTCTGAAAGTTCCATGAATATGATATCATAGCTTATTACTTACTGTCAGTAATTTGTTGCATATTTCATTATAGAAATATGGAGAATTAAAATAAGAAAATTTGAGCTTTTGTTCTGTTTCATAAAAATGTAGTAAAACAATGTAGTCAGTGTTTCCATTTGTCTCAATTTTTTTTTCTCCACAGAACTTGGGAATGATAGAGAATTCCAGGCAGTACATTTCCTAAATGCACAAAAGGCTCAGATGGTATTAGAATATAACACTGCAATTTCTAAGTCAGAAAGGGAAGGCAGAAGATCCAAGTTGCACTGTGACCCACCCAGTGTGTGTTCTACATAGTAATCAATTTGTGAATAAAGAGTTTTCAGAAACAAGACAAGCTGCTTCTGTTGTTATTAGCTCACAGTTGAGACAAAAGTCTGAAGTGGAATCTGATTTAACTCTCCTGTGCTTTCACAGTGCTGGCCTTTCCTTGTTGAACTGTTTCTAAGGGAAGAAAGAGGTGTCCTTGTCCCCAGGTTCCAGGGGACACAGCTTTCTCTTTCTCCTAGAGGTGATGAAGAACAGGTAATTCCTCTCTTACTAATGATGATCTGGTATTAAGAGTTCAGACTATCCTCAGAAACCAAAACCCTAAAAACTGCAGTCAACACTGGGTATTGGTGGCACACGCCTTTAATCCCAGCACTTGGGATGCAGAGGCAGGGGGGGCTCTGTGAGTTCGAGACAGCTTGGTCTACAAGAGCTAGTTCCAGAACAGCCTTCAAAGCCACAGAGAAACCCTGTCTTGAAAAACAAACAAACAAACAAACAAAAACTTCAGTCAACTCCTGTGATGGCTGTTATTCTTTTGCTTAAATTAAAAATTCGAGAGATGGACATGGACTGAGAGCACATTAACCAGTTTATTATAGGGCAGAAGAGCGAGAGGGGGAGAGAGAAATGGAAGAACAGAGCAGGGCAGAGAATAAGAGAGGAGAGAGAGAGAGGTAGAATGCTAGAAAGAGAGAAAGAGAGAGCGTAAGTGAAGAGGAGAGAGAGAGAAGCAGGGGTAGGTGGAATTTTTAAAGGGAAAACCATGAATGCGCACTGAGGTTCCACGCATGCGCAGAGTCTTCACACAGTCTGTAATGTGTGAGGAGTGACATGTTGAGGGCATAGATTGTCCCTATGCATGTCCCGCCTGTCGTCAGGGGGCGAGGTCAGCCTGGTGTTGGTCCTAACAATCGCTGGTTTATAATTCTGCATGGAAACTGCTATGCTACATGGTTCCCTATGATGAGCCTGTGACCATCTCCCTGGAGTCACCATCTATGCCCCAGATCCACATAGGAATGACTCTTTTTAGGACCGATGGAGTTAATGATTTTTTATATGAATGTATTTGATCAGTTTTGCGGATTTTGTTGAGGTTTGTGATGTTAAGAGATCAAAGGAAAATTTTTACAGAGAACTTCTAAAATAAAATAATGTATTCTTCAATCTAAGTCTCAGAAAAGCCAGACCCAGAGTTGAGATGATTGTTACTTACAAACTAAAGATTTTTTTCTCCCTTGAGATCTGTAAAATGATTATGAAAATGATCAAACCTATTAAGCATATTTTAACTGCATGTTTCATAACCTTGAGCTTTTTGGCTGGTAACCATTAGTCAGTTATGTTACTAAAACCACCACCTCTGGGCTGGCGAGATGGCTCCGCGGGTAATAAAGACCCTTGCCATTGAGCCTGATGACCCGACTTGGTCCCTAGAATCCACATGATGGAAGAAGAGAACTGACTCCAGCAAGTTGTCTTTTGACCTTCACATGTGTGCCATAGCACACACATTCCCTGTCACCCTCTCAATAAATAGATGAATGTTTAAAAAATAAAAAGAAATAATTTAAAAAGAAACCCACATCCTCTACTACTTATCTAAACCAACCATAGTACAGCTTAATGCTGGAGCCTGCCATTTGACTGAGTCTTCCAGTCTGTAGCAGCCCTAACATTCATGCTTTTATGCATGCGTGCCTTCCTATCTACTTTGATTCTCTATTGGCACTGAGTCTGCCACCCCTGGCACCTGGTTAGTTTGTGTGAGACTATGCTGCCGTAACCTCCAAGTCTTAGAAGACTCCCGAGTGTATGAAGATGGCTGAGTGTTCTTTATGCTCACATTGCTTGCCAGTGGCTGGCTATTACCCTACTCCAAGTGTCTTTTCATACCAGGGCCCAGGTTCAAGGGCCGGGCCCACCTAAAAAAACCCATTTGTACAAAGAGAAGGGAAAAAGTTACTGGTGGAAATGGTAAGCTGGGGCTCAGTAAAGAAACCACCATCAAGGCAGCTCCATGGTAGAGGGAAGGGTTTCATCACAGATAAGAGACAGAATTGCCAGATTTTCTTAGTTCCATGGCTATAAAAGTTCATATAAAGGCAAAGCAGATCACTGTGATAACCAGAACCCACGTTCTTGGCCATATTTGGATGTGAAAGAGAAGCCAGTTTCTTATTTAAAGGAGAGGCATTTTTTACACTGGTAGCAGCATCTGTGAGAAAGGAGTGGCTTGCCACAGGTCACAGGGCCACAGCAGGAAAAGATGGCAGTGGAGAAGCAGGATGGAGCCTGGCATCTTCTGAACACAGCTGGGGAGGCTTCTTCTAGAGTAGTGTAAGATGATGGACGTTACTCAAGATTAGATACCTAGGAAAGATGATAAAGGATTTGGAGCTGTTTAGACAACACAGCTCTGACTCTCAAGTTACTATTATAAATTTAGGACCATAAGAAAACCGCACAGATTTTTATAAATGTTGGCATGTGTCATGTATTTTGAGGAATTCCTTGGAAATCTGGATCCACATTAACCACATGTGGGCTAACCAGGGAGCTGATGGAGTGTGGAGAAGTGGCAATGAGAATTGGTCTTTGGTGACCAATTTGGTGACCAAATCCAAACCTGAAGGACTCACTTTAACATAAACTAAGTTACAAGACATGGTGGCATGAACCTGCAATTTTAGCATTCAGGAGGTTGGGTGAGTCAAGAGACTGTGAGTTTGAGAAAGTAAGTCCTGGTAGATTCAAGGGTACAGAGGATGTAAGAATCTCAAAGACACTAGCACGGGCTAGTTATATTACTGCATCCATCCTTCTCCCCAGCTAAAGCTAGCCCTCCCTACCCCTCTCTGCAGTAATGGCCTACTAGAGAAGCCTCAAGAGAAGGCCTTCATCCATCCACCCTGTGCTCGCAGCATGTCCCTGTTACAGTGGCTGTCCTTTGGCCACTCTGCGTCTAGGAAGTTGGTGAGAACACAGTAATGCCACTGCCACTTAAGGGTGAGCCCAGGGTTAAGGAATGTGAAAATGGCAGATATCTCAGAGAACGGCACAAGCTCAAGTGAGCCAGAAAAGCTGCTCTACCTGAGCTAGCCTCAGAGCCTGTGTGTCCAGTCTTCCGTACTGCCACAAAATGCTGAAGAGAATCACAGTTCCAGAAGGAAAGATTCATCCAGGCGGTGGTGTCACATCCCTTTAATCCCAGCACTGGGGAGGCAGAGAAAGGCAGATCTCTGTGAGTTCAAGGCCAGCCAGGTCTACAAAGCTACACAGAGAAACCCTGTCTCGAAAAACAAATGAACAAACGTTGGGCTCACAATTGAGAGGTGTACATCACAGCAACAACACATGGCAGAGAACTGCTCCCCTCAGGGAGGGCAGGAAGTAGTGGGGGGGGAGGGCTACAGTCTCAGTACCCCCTCCAGAGGTCTAACTTCTAATGGTTTAACTTCTTCAGATTCAGCCCTTCCATCCAGATGTTCCACTGACCCCCAGTACCACAGGCCAGAGAAAGACCATTAGTATATGGGCCTTTGAGGACATTTACAATCCAACCCAGACTAGAACCCAAGGCTCCCAAACCCTCTCTTCTTTTTACACAGTAGGTATGGCAGATTACAATACTGCATCTAACCACTCATTTCCATACAGGAGAACAGTACATTTCTACATGCTACAACATGCCTCACAGTTCATTTTGGTGACAGGAATACACTTCTCTGCCCTCCTAACACTGGACTTTTCTTGGGATCTGTTTTGGCTAGTGGGTATGTAGGCCACTGTATTATGTCAGGTCCCAACCCCTCCCCGCAAGGTGGCAGACTGGGTTCAGCTCTGGCTGGACCCTGACCCCAAAACACTCAGCACCCCTCAGAAACCTTGTAAAGTGAGTTTCTGTTTGCCAGCAAAAGCCATTATTTTATCAGATCTCACAGCCCTCCAACCTCCAGAGAGGGCATCTGTGAACTCAAGCAAACCTCCAACAGATCAGAGCCCCATGCTAGTCCTCAGGCTGTTCCACCAACCTGCACCCCGAACCCCACAACATAACCTCTCATGACTGGCAGGACTCTCCCACCATTTTTGCTGTCTCTCTGCTCCCATAGCCCTGGCAATTGCCAGTCTGCTCCTCTCCCTGTCCCCCAGGCGGCTCTAGCTATTCTCTCTCTTGTCCTTACCATGGAGCAGCTTGATGATGGTTTCTCTACTGTGTCTCTTGCTTATACTCATGACAGCTACCTTGCTCATTCCTTGGTTCTGATAAACAGAGCAAGTATATTTTTGATCTGTTATTTATGTCTATGAATGTGTTTTATATTCCAATATTTTAATTTGGTTTGCTTGAGGTAGGGTCTCTCTATGTAACCCTGGCCAACCTGTACCTTGCTATGTAGACCAGGCTGGCCTTGAACTCTGCCTCTGCCTCCTGTGTGCTGGGATTAAAGGTATGTGCCATCACAGGCGGCTTACAATGTTTTAATGTCTAATGTTCCATCTTTCTGCTGATATCCTTTCTGTTTTCTCATTAGGTTCATAGTTACTTTTAGCTCTCTGAACATATTTGTAGCCATTCTAAGGGCTTCAAAGTGCACCTTGTGGCTGGGAGGCATTGTTTGCTACTGACAGCTGTTTTTCTTGACTCTGTCACACCTTCTTGCTTCTTCACATGTGCTAATTTATTGATGGGAGATTGCTGGAATGGTGGGAGTGATGGTATAGACACACACTCCCCTGGGCTGCTTTCTTCCTCCGAGTAGTTTTGTTGTGTTTCAGTTCCAGGCAGTAGCTGGGTCATTCACTTGGGTCATTCATCTTGGACTTGGGTTTTTTGTTTGTTTGCTTGTTTTGTTTTGATTTTTGTAGAGGACAGACAGTTTTATGGGTTACTTAAGCCAGTCAGTGAAAGTCTAAGAGATTTCCCATGATCCTCCGAATTGTTGGCTTAGTTAGCTGTAAGCTCTTGTGGACTGAATCTGCTCTAGGCCTTAGGGCAGAGTGTGCTGTTTACCTCCACAGCATGGTTTTAGCTGTTAGCAATGCTTTTAATGAGGGTTCTCCTTTCATGTGGTTGGAACCTGATGATCCTCAGCAATGCTTAACCTCTGTATTTCTCTTCTCTTCTCACCTCTTAGCAGCCACTTCAGTAATGCCTTCTATTGCCCCCGCACCCACCACCACCAACCCAACCCTGTGCAGTAAAGCCCTCAGCTGAAGACTCCTGAGGGACCTGTATGTGAACTTTTCACCCCTCCACCATCTCTGCAGATTCTAATTCTTTGCTTGTCCGGATCTACATGCTTGCAATGACATCCTCTCCACTTGGACTCCAGCCTGCTGCCTGGAACTGGGATGACCATGGGACAGCTTGTGAGCTCGTCCTTCCTCCCAGGATTGCTGCCTTGGACTTTCTGAAAACAGTTGCCCAGTTGCCAAGTGTGTTTTGCCTGGTTTCACAGCTGCTTGGGGAGCTCACTTTAGTGAATGACCAGCAAGTCCATCAGAGTTGGATGAGGAAGCCTCTAAGATGTAATCTAACCCAAGTGACAAAGACCACATCATACTTTTTATTTCTGTTAGAAAAATTCTATCTAGAGAAGGTGGTAGGCAAGAATTTGGGGATGAAGCTTCCATTGTGTAAGATCTATTATTACTATTGAGAAGATTTTGCTAGATAGCTGATTTGCCTTGAATTTACTATTCTGTTGGACCAGTTTCTTGAGTGCTAGTATTCCAAGTGTGAACTACTGTCTGGCTCATGTTGTTTTTAATGAAAAAGAGGAAAACGACCAAAGGCTACATTTTTCTGCTTTTTATACTTGACTTGTTATACTCAAGTCTAAATCCAGCAATCTGGCAGCTGAGATTGACTTAGATGCCAGGTTCTGTTCATGTTTGAGCACTGAATCTTCAGAATATGTCATCACATGTATATGTACATACAGTCTCTGTTTCATTGTCCCCAAACTCCAGTGTACCTGTGCACCTTGTGAAAATCTCACAGATGGATATTCAGTTCTGAAATTTTCTAGGTTATGTTATGCCATGTTGTCCAATCTACATAGATCTGTAATCCATCTAACTGTTATCTAATACTGATTATTAAAGAGGGACAGCTGTGTTAAGAATAAGTACTTATGTTGCATACATTTGTACGTATTTAAAAGCTTGCTGTTTTTGAACCATCGCCAGGCCCATTCCTGATCCAAACTGCCAGCAGCTCCCCCCTCTCGCTTCTGTTATGTTTAGGTGTCCTCTACCCATGGAGTGATTTTCTGCCATCTCAGGAGAAACCCAAGCCAGCAAAAAAAAAAAAATAT